GCCTCTGCCTGCTGGGATTAAAGGTGTGCACCCCTATACCGGGCCAAGAATTTTTAAGTAATAAAAGAACTCCTTTTTAAAATTTATTTTTTGTGTGTATTTCCTCATGCAGTAGGCATCAGAGGACAGTTGTCAGGAATTAGTTCTTTCTTCCTACTTCCATGGGTTCTGGGTATTAAATTAAATTGAATTCAGCTCTTGAGGCCTGGCAACAAGTGCTTTAACCCACTGAGCCATCTTGCTGGCCATAAAAAGAACTCTTAACTTGTAACTTAATTAAAAACAAACCAAAAATCTAGTGTATGCTTGAAAAACAATAAAACACTCAGCAAGCCAAGACGGGAATCATGAATTTGAGGCCAGCCTTGGCTACATAAGATTTTTCTAGGACAGGCTTGGAAACATAGTGAGACCCCCATCTCCAAACAAAGATGAAAAGGGCTGAGTGTGGTAGTATATACACTTAATCCTAAGCACTTGGGAGGGGGAGGCAGGATGATCAGGAGTTTAAGGTTATCTTTGGCAACATAGAAAGTTGAAGGTTGGCCTAGGCTACATGAAACCCTATGTTAAATAAATAAATAAATAAAATGGTGCTGGAGAGATGGCTCAGCGGTTAAGAACACTGGCCTGAGCTCGATTCCTAGAACCCACATGGTGGCTAACAATCATCTGTAACTTTTCCACTACATGCAGGCAATACACTTATACACATAAAATAAAAATAAAATATTTAAAAAAACCAAGAAACCGAAACCACAAAATACCAAATGCCAAGCCAAAACAAAAAACTATAAATCCAATAAATAGTGTAAGAATTCTTTATTTATTTGAGACAAGGTTCTTGTGTTTTTGAATCCTCCTGCCTCAGCCCTCAGAATGCTAGGATTAATTTTTTTTATCACAAGAATGATATAAATGTGAAAATTACAGGTTTTTCAGAAGCAGAAAAGGAATGTTTTACTCAACGTGACAGGAATCTTGAATAATGTTTTTTTTGTTTGTTTTGTTTTTTGCCTGTTAGAGTTTTTTATATTCAGGGAACCTCTGCTTACTCGAGAGATAACTAGCCGTTCTAAAACAGGGTTTGGAATAGTCAGCACTTGGGAGGGGTTGCTGTAGTTAAAATTAATTAGGCGTAGT